TATCATGAAGCAAAAAAATATATATACATAGAAGTTTGTTATTTTACGAAAAAGAGAAAGAAAATTTTCGGCCTTCAAAAAGGCAAGTTTCAACCTTAAACTGTTGATACAAACAATTGAAAGTCAATAACGAAACAAAGATAACATCATAATCTTAATAAAACATATGAAATAAACTTCATTTAAGTAAGACCTAAAAATTGCACTACGAAATTAATTAAATCAATAATAATAGCAAATAATTTATTTCTAATACCAAAAGTTTACAGGAGAAAAAACTATAACTCAAGTTTAATATTCTACTTAGTATAATAATAGAAATTATGTCTGAACTCTAGTATATATCTTGATATTTTATGTGATGTCATGAAGTTATTTATTTGATAGTGATATTCGTGCAAAGTGTCGTTTCTTGTCTTACTTTAATTACATTTAATTCATATGGTTTATTTAGATTATAATGTTATATTATATATAATTAATTTTTTCTTTTTGTTTGTATCATCATTTTACAGCTGGAAATTGTCACTTTGAAAATAGAAAATTTCTTTTTTCTCTTCTCTGAAAATAAAACTTCTACAATCATATATTTCCTTGCTACATGATACTGAGAGTTCATGTTTGTAGAGTGAGAATACATGATCTATAAAATTCTTCACCAAGAGTAGGATGTGCTTATAGTTTTGAATGTAAAAGAGACAGCTTCAGTTATGCGTGAAAATGTGTTTAGATTGTGTTTGACCAAGATAAAGTTTTTGAACGCGAAACGATGGCGAATGAAATTATAATATTTTGTCAATTCTGTACAATGCGTGCAAAATAAAAAAAGGTAATTATGCAGTGTAGCGCATATTCTGGCGAACATTCAACTGACTGTTCATCAGCGTTGATTAATCTGTTTAAACAACAGCGGACAGAACTTACAAAACGACAGTAATATTTGTATGAAACAAACACAGTATATGATCAATATTTCATTCTCTATTCATTCAAATATAGGCATTTCCACTCAAAAATTATGCTTTTTTGCGATATATGTATGGGTCGCATACTGTTTTACTCTAACTCAGAAAACAACGTTGATACTTACAGCGCTCTTGTGGTATTGGAAAAACAAGAGTCTGGACAAATTAAAAAAGTAAGTTTACCTCTTTTGAAACTATAATTTGTTTCAGTAACATGTTATTATAGGCTTGAAAGTTTCTTATGGAATTTGCAGAACTGTAGCTCAACATAAATACATGATAAAACCATTGGACAAGTCTCTCATATGTCAGCTTGTCAACTGATGAAGTTGCAGTATTATGCAATGAGCCTTAGACCGAAGACGTCTGGTATATATGACTGCAGTAACTAATTAAAAAAGTAAGAATAAATGATTCGAACTCGTAACGGGGAACAAAAATTTTCCTAGACTACATTTCATTCACACTTGTTCAACAAACGATAAAAATTGAACTTATATCCCTATTTAGATTTAATTTAAGTCGAGTTAAATTGGGTTTAAATTCATTTGCATTGATCTAAAACAGTTTCAATCGATTTAAATCTGATTTAAAGTAATTTAAATCAATTTAAACTTATTCAGATGCAGGTTAAATTAATTTAAATTGATCTGAATTGAATTTGCATTAGTTTTAGTTGAATTGAAACAATTTGAATTAACTTCAATTTATTTAGATTTAATACAAATTGATTAAAACTTGATTGAAAAGTGGCTTTAAATTAACTTCAATTTATGTAAATTCAATTTAAATTTAAAAGAAATTTCAGTTTCTATGTAAAATAACTTTGAATTTTTTAGAATTGATTTCTAAATCTAATAAGTTGTTTTTTTGAATACTGATTGATCATCCCTATTGCCAAAATACATGATTGCAAAACAAAAATAAGAAATAAGGAGAGAAATTGATATCATATGTTTAAATTCGATCATCATCATAAAAAAAGCCGGCCTTAGTAACTAAGTAGTATACAGAATTAACATTGAAAAAATTCAGTTGTATTAGTTTCTAGATCAAATATTGATCAAGGTTCCCCTATTTATCGCTTCTAGACTACTGAGTAGTCGTCAGGCAATTTCTAAAGATCAGTAAGACAAATGGCTGATTTTCAACTAAAAAACTAGAAATGTGGTGTTCCTATATATCAAAGAACTTATCCTAAGTTGTCAAATCGGCATTTTTTTTCCACTATAGAATACCAAAAACTATCTTTACATTTGCTAAAATCAAAATATAGGTTGTTGAATGGATCAATTTTTTCTTGACATGTTCTATTTAATGCTGAACACTGTATATTACTAGCATCATAAAAAGCTGAGCAAGAAAATAGCATTAGAGTCAACTTCGTCTGCAAGTGCAGTTGATGTCCAGAAGTGAATAGAATGTAAACCTTAAAGTTTGCTAGACTCGAATAAAAAGGCTTCGCCTGGTAGAAATAACTCTCACGAGGGAACATTTTCAGGTGCTAAAAATCTTTTCAACCGGGGATGT